TTTCTGGCTTAAACCAACTTCTTCATGTCAAATGGTTCATTCATTTGCTTGTTGGCTTCTGCTTTGCTTCCAAGAATTTAAAGCAGAATGTGTACTGCAACCTCATCCAACTCTCCCCCCCCACACACACATAACAGGTTAATTAGGTGATTTTAGGATAACAAATGGCAATTGACCTTAGTCACTTCTATGGCTTCTAGGTATAGACCTTAATCAGATGTGGCCATGAATCTGTTCTAAAATAATCTATGGAATTTTCTCAAATCTATTCAGAGATGTTTTAAAATATGTCAGTGAAGTTACAGTAAACTGTTCATCATTATATTAGGGAGGGCTTAATGATCATTTATGTAAACGGAAGAAATAAGGAATTAATAAGTATGCCTGTTGATTAAAAATACCCAATGAAAGTGTTCCCTTACCTGACTGTAAGCCTTACAGCAACCGTGTAAGTTGTAAGTTAGTATTTCTCCTTAATATTGCAGGTCCTTGCCTTAAACCTACTAGATTCTGTATGATTCATTTGTAATCCATTTTAGATAATATTGGTAGTCCTTGATGTATGACCACAATTGAGCCCAAAATTGATGTTGCTAAGTGAGAGGTTTGTTAAGTGAATTTTACTCCATTTTATGACCTTTCTTGCCACATTTGTTAAGTGAACCACTTACGTTGTCAACTTAGTAACACTGTTTTTAAGTGAATCTGGCTTCCCCAATGACTTTGTTTGTCAAAACGTCACATGACCCCGGGACACTGCAACTGTCATAAATATGAGTCAGGTGCCAAGCCTCTGAATTTTGATCATGTGATCATGGGAATGCCACAACAGTCATAAGTGTGAAAATGGTCATAACTCTTTTTTCAGTGCCATTATAACTTTGAACAGCCACTAAATCACTGTTTCTCAACCTTGTCAACTTGAAGATGTCTGGACTTCAACTACCAGAATTCCCCAGCCAGCAAATTCTGGGAGTTGAAATCCGGACATCTTCAAGTTGACAAGGTTGAGAAACACTGCACTAAATGAACTGTTGCAAGTCACGGATTACCTGTATATGTTTTACCTTGGTATAATTGGATGATAAACAATGTAGCATGCATATTATTATTTAAAAAACCTTATAAATTTCGCATTTTGTTTAGCTATAGCTGCCCTATCTGGATAGCAAACTCCTGGCCAACTTTTTCAGGCAATGAATAAAAGATTGCTATTAGCTAATTTTCTATTATTTTTGTACCACTATTCAGTTGGACGTTTTCACTAAACTTGCATAATTGAACTGTTCTCTAAACTGTGGTTATGTTAAAAGTAATCTTTCAACATAATTTTCTGCCAATGCAAAAGAAAGGGTCGGTAGGTAGCAAGGGATGATCTTCTCCCCTTCTCCTTATCTTCTTGTATAGTTCTGTAATCAACACTATCTCTTTTAGAAGTCATTGTTTCCATTTCCTTATTCTGATTAATTTTTTCCCTAGAGTCAGGCAAATAAATCGCTAATATTTATTGGCATCTTTTTAAAGCAGCTGCAGCTTTTCTGGGGATCTTTTGTCTGCACAAAAGCTATCACATGTCCTGAGAAAAGACATAACTGCTTTAAACAGGTACAAACAGGTTCTACACACATAAGACAAATTCTTTCCTATGCACTCTAAATTACATTTTTGGAATCTAATCTGAAGCCCAGCAGAGACCCAGCGATGAGTTACTTAGCGTCTTGCACTTTTCTAAGAGATCCCTGCATTAAGAAAATTAAAATATGGCAGAGTCCAATGTTGTTAACATCATTATTGTCTCTTTGTTTTTTAGGACAGAAGGAGGTGTTTCAAAAGGTGCAACTGTAGGTGTTCTTCTGGACCTCAACAAGCACTCCTTAACGTTTTACATAAATGGGCAGCAGCAGGGCCCTCCGGCATTTGAGAACGTGGAGGGTGTTTTCATGCCTGCATTAAGTCTCAACCGAAATGTTCAGGTAAAAGTTTTGTCCTATTGGATTAGGTCAGTTCAAAGTAATAGTTGAATAAATTGCACTGTGTGGTGTCCTTGTGGCTCTCTGAACCTGATTGCAGGCATTACCCAACTAGGGAACACCATCAATGCTAGTGAGTGTGAGGATTGCATTGCATTGCATTGCTCCCTATTGATATATGGTGGCTTGGCCTGCCAATATTGGTGACAGTGTAGTGTTCTCTGTGGGTAATTCCTTCAGGTTTTGTTTTCTGCTTGATTGTTTTTGTGGTGTTAATCTCTGCTTATCTGAATGTTGGTTGCTGGAGATGATGCATTTTAGACTTTTTGTTTCTTCTTAGCTTTATTTTTAAATTGTCTCTTTTCAATGATGTGTAAATATTCATCTTGAAGTGTCTATTAATGCCAAACTTCCAGAAATTTCCTAAAGTTCCTGGATTTAGGTTGGGTCTGTTCAAGTTCAGGGAACAATCTGGACACTTGGCAACAGATTCATACTTATGACTAATTGCAGTGATCTGCAATCATATGATCACCATTTGTAACCTTCCCTGTTGGTTTCCCTAAGAAAGTCAGTAAGGATAGAACACAAGTCGCTTGGGTAGGTTTCCCCATCTGCACATTCTCTTTCAGCCCCTCTATACCCTGTGCTACCCTTGCAACTCTCACACACAGACACACCATGCACTCTGTACCATAATGTAGTGAATGCTGGGAAAGTTATGTCTATATTTTATGCTCTAAGGTCCTAGAAAAACGTTCGGTTTCAATGGGTTTCTGCAAAACTTGCCATAGCTAACAATCCCCTACTTTGTACATATATTTTTAGTTCTAAATTCTTGCTTTTTTCCCCTTTTGCAGGTGACTCTACACACAGGTCTGGAAGTACCTCAGACAGTAAGACCACCAAAGCTGCCAAGCAACTGAGTTCCTGCTACTTGTATCTCAGCTAGATTTTATAATCTTTCTAAATGATCAGTTTTAAAATAACACACTCATAGTTGAAATCAAAATAATGATGGTTAGATTTAGGGATGTTTGCTGGGAGATTAAAACAGCCAAGATGGCCTCTGTGACCCACTTCTTTTTTACATGCTTTATACACATAAAAAGGAGTGGGTTTCAAATCCACCGTTCCAGATGCCCTCTTGACTTTATTTTAACCTATCCTGTGGATACCCCGGTTTAAATAACTCAATAATTTCCTTCTTAGTTCTACATGCCTTTTAAACTTTTATATTGTTTCAAGAGTGCTTATACCACCGAACTGCCTGTGCATTTTGGCTTTATCCTTGTGTGAAAGCTTACCATCTGCCATTTGAAGGTATCACATGCTAAAGTTTCATTTTCTTTTCACACATCGATTCTGTTTTCGTACAGCAAAAGAGAGAGAAATCAACAATATACAAATGCTGTTGATTATGGTGGGAATTAATCATCTTTAATCTTCTCTGGAACATATTTGTTCTGGGCACATTTTGCTTGATCCCGATCTGTGACTATGATATATTGACATAGAGGATTATAGCTATATCCTTTATGGCCTAATTGCTTGAAGGAGTTTCAGTATGGTAGAGGCTGCTGTCCTTGCGCAGATGTTTGGATTAAGTGCTATTCCAAAGATTTGGGCATAGCAGAATAAAAATAAAGTGGATTGGGTTCAGTAGCATCATTATCATTCCTTCTACTGTAAGGATTAAACTTCTAACGCAATATATACAGTACTGCAAATCTCCAAATGTTTAATCCAGATTATTGTAGCGTTCTCTTTGAATATCTGTTCTGATAACTCTGCCTTCAACACAAAGCTCATACTGTGCTGCTGTATTTGTGTGTGTTGACTTTGCGCTGACTTTGAGTGCCATATTGTAATCACATAATTTTTAGAGCAGATGTTTAGAAGAAACCAAAGATCCATTCATATATGGGGATATGAAGCAAAGGAAGCTCAGAATCCAAATCTATACAAAGATGACTCATTAATGTTTTGATGAATTCTATACTCACATTTTCCTTCTTTGTCTTGTCATTATTCCACATGGATTCAGCTGGCAAAAGAACCTTTATCTTGTATTCGTATATACTTCTACTAGTCTTTGTGGATGCAAATCTTACACTTGCAAGATTAACATGTGATCAAGGGTAACTAATCTCTTCTTTCCAGAAAACAAGTTGTTAATACACCCCTAACAAGAATCTTAGCTCTTTCACCAATTTACCAATTATTTCATTCTAAACTTGCCAATTTTAATTATTTCTCCCAAGATCTACGTCCAAAGCAGTTGTTGGGACTATACTCAATGTTCAGAAATGAACAGCACTTAATCAAATAGAAAATTTTACATTTGCTTTAGCTCTGTATTCAACAGTATTAAGTTAAAAGTTAAGCATGTGTTTAAATATTTGTTAGCTTTTCTTTATGCCAGCCAAATGAATTTTTGTAATAGATTTTAGCAAGCCAACAGCATGAGGAGAAAATAAATCAAATCTCTCTGAGCTGGTTTGAAATATCTTTCCTAGCAGAAGTGAGAAATTAGCACAGGCTGACCAGTGTACAATTTCTGGTTTCCCGTTCATCCTCAGTTAAAGCAAAGCAAAGTCAGGATTTTCATTAACTGATTTGGTTTCCCAATCTGGAAATTAACAAGTTCATGGATCTTATTAGCGTATTAATAATTATCCTTCAAATAATTCTATTTAGATCTGTTTCTCATTATGAAGATACAAGCGCACAGCTAATTTGTCAAACAGTATATCAAGTATGAAAAAGCTCTAGATGGCTGAATTTGTACTATTTCAAACAGTGAGTGGACAAAATAACCCTAAAGAATGCTTCCCCACATAATATATTCCTCATACACAGAAAGACAGCAGAATTAATTAAAAAGTTGGTCTAGCTAGAATCTTTTTCCTTAGCTGCTGTTTCATAAAATGTATATAAGGAATATTCTCTTGTAGAGAATCATTTTCTTATCTGCACCTGAGTGGTGTGGCCCAAATTACAGCATAAGGGGATTCTACTTAACTGATTTGGAACCAATACGTTTTCAAAGTCCAAATAAAATGCTTTGTCTTGTTTAAAATTTTAATAATGGGGCAGATCTTACCATATGACATTTGAGATTGTGTTGTTATGATAACCTATTGTAAAGTTTGAAGTGTTTCAGTGCATCTAGATCAACTTTTCAGAATCAAAGAAATTAGGGAGATCATCCAAGTTCTACATATTTGGCTCCTAATTGTTATACTTAATTCAGTCCATGTTGCTGAAATTATGTCTGTGTTTCTTCATTTTGAGGTGGAGGCTGTTATCTGATCTACTTTATGATCATCATGCGTACATCAGCAATAGGTTCTGAAGGCTAGGTGCCATACTTCTGTTATAATGCTTTTTATGTGAATTAATCAAAATTCTTCCATAATATAAAACTTGGCAGTTGGAATTCAAGCATTCCTTCTGCCTATATCCTGGGGAATTGCTTTGGCAGTGATAAATACTTGGAAAAGGATCTATAAAAAGAGGGAGGATATTAGGCTAATTATGCAATATCTGTACTATTTTTTTCCAGCTTGTTTCCAATAAGTCAAGAAACACTAGACAAAGATAATTTTTATACGGGGAAGGGCAAATGAAATTGGAATGGTTTTCCCCCCTTTTAATTCCAAAACTCTTTTAGAGAAAATGCTTTCTATTGCAGGAAAGAATATTCAAATTAATCTGTCTTGCTTGGGCTGGAGGTACTGTACTTTCTTGTAAAGTACAGAAATGGTTTTCTGAGTGTTTTAATTGTTAAATATTGATATGATGAGACATTTAAAGTAGCAAATGTCATTGCTCTGATTTTTTTTCATGCTTAAAATGTGTTCCATCTTTGTCCAGGATTTGAAAATTATTAATATTTAGAGTCAGCTTCAGGCCTACCTCAACAACTTCACATATTATGGACCTTGTTCACTGTGAACATGCCTTGTATAAACTTAGGCTTGGTAGTAAGAACAGTGATATTTGAAGTAGTTTTCTGTAGGCAGGGAACCCATTCTGCCTCTATGAGCCCCAAATCATTCATTGAAATTCCGAGACATATTTTTATCCAAACCATTTTACTAACAACTTCGCAGATGCTGTATGTATGTTCACCCAATGACATATAGCAATTCTCTGGTGACATGCTGCTTTCAAATATCAGTTTACTTATTCTTATTTTATATTGTGTAGAGGAGGTCTACCGTAATCTTAGATGGCTCTAAAACAACATAGGAAGAAATCCTTAAAACAGAACAGTTAGAACAAAGCAGCCTGTGATTACCAGATAACACATGTTACCTTGAATGCTTTAAACATTATACAAATCTCAATTTAAGATTGTTGATGTTTTTATTAAATCTACCTCTCCCAGCTATATCCAGATACCTTTCAGCAGAATAGGAAACAGTTGATTTATGTAGCTAATAAAACTTTAAAGTTTTCTTCTCTTAAAACAATCAATATCTTGTGGTATGTACACAAAGTAATACAGATTTGTTTAAAAAAATAATAATAGTGATTCCTGCCCTAGATGGTTAATATGTTTGGATATACACATTCAGGAGGTGTTGCAAAACCATAAAAGTGGTGAAAAAAGAAACTACTAAAGAGGAATAAATTAGCCGTTCTTGAAGATCCGGTGGATTTTTCTCTCCATATCTTTTTTTAATCCCTCATTAGTTTAGTAGAAATATTACATTTTAGTGGAAAGTCACTGTATAGTACAGTAATGCTAAAAACAAATTGTGGGATGCAATAATCTTTTTTTGTTTTATTGTTTTAGTCCACACTGCCTGGGTGGTTGGTTTTTGTTTTTTTTTGCGGGTGGGGGTGAGGGGGTTAATTGATTTAATTGTTTCACTGTTTTTTGGATTTTTTGGGGAGATCTAGATGGATCCAGGTAAAAATAAGTCTTTTATTACTTCTACAAAATATTTGTCACTAATGAAACAGATTAAGGAATATAGTTTGCAAAAATGGACTAAGTTATTCTAGCAAAATAAATGAAGTTTGATGTCTTTGGGCCTATTTTTTTAAATGAAGATAAAGCTCTGCTTTATGTATTTTCCATGTGTTTCAGTAAACTTTAGTAACAAACTCAGATATATCTATGAACAAAACTAATATTCCCTGAATGAATTTGGGGCCAATCTGTTTGACAGAACAAAGACAGTCCAGAGACCTTATGAATAAAACAACATGTTTTTGTTGTTTTGATTATTCATTTGGTTATGGAATTACTTTTTTTAACCTAACAATGCCAGGAAGAACAAACATTCATGCAACATGTTAATTATGAGTCTAGATCTCTTATAAGAATATTTTACAAGTCTCCTCCCTTGAATGTCATCTGAAAATGAATACATAAAATTCAGTAAGATTGTCACCTTCAAATTTATCCAGCTGTGAGGAGTTATGGTAGTAGATTGGACAGGCTTGGACTCAATATCAGTTGTTTTATGTTTACTTCTATGATGAGTTTGCATGTGGCCCTCCCGAGTTCCGTTTTCGCTGGCAGAGGATTGCAGGAGGCCGTCCCAGTTGAAAATGGAGATTGGGAGCCTGTTTTCACTAGCAAAGCACTCGGGCTGCCACAGGTGCCCGACACAAGTGACATCAAGCAGACCATGCCCACCCCAGACCCCCGAGGTCAAACACCATCCTGATGTGGCCCTCAGTGAAATCGAGTTTGACATCCCTGCTGTAGGTGGTTCAGGCCAAAAGAATATTTTTGTTTGAAGTGGTGTAGGATTTTCTGCCTATGCCAGGGGTTGAACTAGAAGACCTCCAAGGTCCCTTCCAACTCTGTTATTCTGTAATCTATATTTGTCAATATGGTTTTAGAGAAACAATAGCATTGGGCAGTAGAATGGTATGAGAATTACTCTCTTGATAATCTCAGAGAAAAGAGTTAATTTTTCTGTTCTGTTGAGTTCCCCTATAAGCATGCTATTCCCCTATCGATGTGATCTTGCTATGTGATCAAACATAGCAAGAAGAAAATCTATGTATTTTTTTTAGGATTACACAAACATTACAGAGGATTTAGTGGTAAATGAGAAGGGGCTTGAAGACCAAAGCCACTTTTTAGTGCTTTTTTTAAAAAAGCCTTAAACCCTAAAACCACAACTTTAGATTCCCTTTTTCATTAAGAGAAAGATGAACTGACATCCTTAAGTCATAACATACCACTATTAAGTATAGAGAATGATCGTTTGTCATTCTTTCTTTAGCTCGTTCCGTTCCATGACAAACTTGTTTCCTGTAATATTTTTGCAACTAACTTGGAATATAATTATGACATAACATGTCAGAGAACTATGCAGTTGCTCAGTGGTTTTTCTATTCAAAGATTAAAACAGAAAACCCTGAAGTTTTGTTGATGTAATTTTGTCTGACAGTCTTTCATTTAGTCTGATGTTGAGAGTGAGGGGGGAAAAGATCCTTTTTTAGGGTAAAAGAACAATGGGGTTGCTGGTTTTATTCTGTTCTGCATGAAAATTGAGCTGGCCAGATGAAAACAGAATAAAGAACATGCCAACACCCACTGTAAACTGAAAAATAAAAAATAGAAAGGCCATGATCCATCAAACAGGTATACTGAAGACCATAGATTTCAGTAAGTGTGCCTAATTTTGTGTAGGGTTGTAGCTATTAAGCTATTTACAGAGTTTAAGAGGAGACATTAATATTTCATATTACACATGTAATGTAGTAATGTATGCATACCTATCATCTTAGTGTAAATAATGCATTGTAATGTAGTTAAGTAGTCTGTTATTGATCAGTGGTCAAGTTCCATTGTAGTGTTGTAGATTTTTTAAATGTCTTCAGCAAAAAAGAAAAGGAGTACTTGGTTTTCAAGCTACTTAGATGTGTAGAGCATGAGGAAATGCGCTATTCTGACTTTTTCCATCTGCTTTTAATATGGCCGCTATTTAGAGAGATGGGAGTCACGCACTGCAATTCAAGACACTGCACTGTGGTTACTGTTGCAATCAGACTGATTCAGTTGTACACAAACACAGCTGTTTTGCCTGTAGCAGGCCTGGACCATGCATGTCTCGGTCTAGTGGTCCTCTTTGTGTGATGGATGCCTATAAATTTTCCATTCCACTTGCACGCTCCATGCTGAGGCCTTTATACACAAAAGTTCATTGCAGATCCTCTTC